CATTATTCTGCTAGAAATATAAACGTTACAAACGGAACTTTGCCACATTCAAATGGTGTAACTACTAGACCCCGTATCTCGGTTTGTGATGTTGTAGACTTCCTGTCATACTTTATTTTTTACGTGGAAAACTACTCAATATTAATTCTTGAAAACTTTCGTGTTTTTTCTTCTCTATACAAAGGAAACTCTGTGACAATCAAGAAATGATATTCATTTGTTTTCCTTCAAAGAAATCAAATGGGAACGGACAGTTTTGAACGCCGCAAGTGAGATACGTGGTCTAGTATCTTTACCGTCGGTTTGCGTGTATTTACACATAAAACATTGACTCTTAAAATTTAACTGTGTATCATAGATATTTAGATAATGAATTAGATATTTGAGAACTTTGATGCGTGGACTACGTTTTCATGTTCTTATGCTCATATCACGCCACAATATGGGATAAGGAGAAATGACTCATTTAAAATTACTCACGGAGACTTGATAGATTTTTCATCGAATATCAGCTCTCTGGGTTGCTTATAAACAACAATTCCGTGTCGATGCATGCCTGTAAAATAATAACGGAGGATCTGAATGAATCATCCCCATTCTATTGCCGTTTTTTCAACCACGAAAGAATATGCATGTAGAGACAAAACTATTGTGTTTTATAATTAATTTAAGATTATATCGATGAAAGTATTGGAAGCGGAGAAATCCTTGTCATAAGCATTTTCAGGTGAAAGCTAGGGAGGTACTCTTTCCTTTGAGCTTTAATAAGGAAAGTAAACAATGAATTTTGTAAACTAAAAAGTGACCAGAATCGGATTAATTTCTAGCTTGATTTCGTTGATTTTTACATTTCAACTGAGAATGAATGTTTGTCAAAATTGAAAAGGACTGTAAATCCAGTAGCAATAGGAGTTTTTGAAGAAAATGATTGCGTATTTAAATTTATCAGAGATTTGAAGAAGAGAGAGAATGTCGGAGCATTATTCAATCTGCATTAATCACTGAAAAAAAGAAGAAGTATTTTCCCTTGAATTAAGAATTTTACTGTTCAATAGAAACTACTTTTTTGCTGAACCCAAGCATTATTTTTCTTGTATTAGGAAAAATTCAGCTTAAATCAAGATAAAAAAAAATTATTGGCGGCAAATTTAAGAATCATCATACTTGAGTCAAGCACTTCTTTTAGTGAGATATTAAAATTGAATCTCAGCAATAAAGTGACATTAAAATAAATCATTCCTCCTGTTTGCAATTTACAAAATGTGCATGGCTCTTGAAAATTCCCAGTTCTATGTTTTGAGACGAAGCTAACAAAAGCATTGCTTTTAGCTAACAACAGGTGAAATAGACGATTATTTTCCTCAAATATGAATGAGAGGTGTGGCTGTGGGTTACTTCATGCTAATTTTAAAAGTAAAGTTTCATATTTTTAACACCTGTGCCTTTAGCAGGATTTGGACCTTTGTACTTATAAAGTTCAGTTCCATCATAAAATCTATTTCCCGGTATGTTGACAATCAGCCAGTGCAAATATTCCCGCAGAGATGGTTCTTCGCGAGAAGGTTCGTCGAGACCTATAAAACAGAAAAAAATTCGGGAAAAAATCAAGCTGAAGATAACAAATATCCTGAAATTGTATTGACAAATTCATTACAGGTTGAATAATGAAGAATCAGAGTATATAGTAGAAGAGTAATAGTATCAGAAATAATGATATATGTAGGATACCAACCTGCCATGATAAGGGTAAACCATTCCGTTTTATTGCTCTTATAATCTATCAAATACGGAGGGCAATCAGCTACATCAACTGGAATCAAATTTCCAAGTTCAGCAAAGTGACCTTCTACCCATTGTACCTGAGAAAAAACAATTTTAATGATACTGAATATTTCACCACGAGTGCGTAATTTGTAAAATTTTCCCGAGAGTTGGCACACTGTAATTTTATGTCTGTCGACTACAAAGACTTCGGTGGGGTGGAGTTGGGTAATTGATCGGTTTTCTGAGTCGTCCTATTTCTGAGCATAACTATGTCGGGTAGAATCGGTGATCAGCTAGAGGCCATTCTAAGGATGCTTTTATCTTATTATCTATTTGACATGACGCGCAAAGAGATGATAAAAAATGACAAGAAAATGACCGGAAAACATCATTCCTTTTTAATTTTGTCTTGTTTAGTCTACACATATTATAAAACAGCATCATTATAAAAATCGGTCCGCTTGACATTCACGAATGGCATATGGTTTTGACTCCAGTATCCGTTTAGATTTCATGAACTGCTCGTTCAGATAAATAATTGTCAGAACAAAGGAAATGAGGAAACTCCAAACAGATTTCTGAAACAGGTTGTATGTATTAGTCGCTTTTACGGCGCGCTGGGGCGCTCTGCGGCTCAGGAATCAGCCTAAGAATCCCAGGTTGTATAAAAACATGCTTTAGGTTTTTGAAAAAGTTAAGGAAAATTTTTTCTCGGAAAATCCGATCTGAAATAATATATATGCACCTTCACCTTATCAAAGCAGCATCCGGCATTCGTTTGGAAATGTTATCGTCGTGCTTAAGTTTTCAATTAGAGAATGAACAACTCACCATTATCGACAATTTTGGGGGCTCGTTTATGAGGTCCGGTAAAACCCTAAATTTTTGCAGTTTCTCCTTAATTTGGGCAAAAGACATGTTCAAAACCATCGATTCATTGGGACCAGGCGGCTGGAACCGTTCAATATTCATTGTGGTGTGCTCCTCAAATGCTAAGACACTGGGCTCCGCAAAAAATAGAAGAGCCCCAAATGAAAGTATCAACATTGCAGAACCATGTCCCAATAAAATAAAATATGCACTAATACTGAACATTGACTTTAAACGCTCACCACAGCAGATTAAAATCGCGGTTGAACCAGCGTTTTAAAATTATCAGTGAAGCTCCACTAATGCTGTGAAGTTGATGGAATTATATTGTGATAATCCTCACATTGTGAATGTATTTCTTGAGTGGTGACAAAAAGACTGTTACAGGGAGGACGGAATGTATTCAGAAGACTTAATTTTACACACATAGTTGTTATCGGGTAAAAGAGGCTGAATTTATTCAAATTAATAGTCATTTTTTTATAAGAAAGAAAGAAAATCAATTGCTGCCAATTATGAGTATTTTGCCGAAAATCTAATAATTTTCTCAATTCCTATGTGACGCCATAAATGGGCGACCAAGCACAACAAGACACGAGTCAAGGTAGAACGGAGAGTGGATTTTTCTAAAGTATCCATGAAGTCAGATTTTGTTCAATTTGCTCCAAGAGAGTATTGCATTCTGCGAAACAAATTTTATCTGCTTGGTTAGAAACACCTAATTGGCTTTTCTCTTTATTATTATTTCGAAGGGTTTCTATTAGAAAATTTGTTTTCACAATATCGTTTTTCCTTTGGGTTTATTCGCACCCTTTTTTACAGAATATTCCCAGTTGTAAATCATTGCTTTGGCGTTTTTCTTTGGTTTAAACTCTGAGCTCAGAGCAGTAAGTTGGTGACTGAGAGTTGGAAATTTCCTCAGAATTTTAAATAGTTTTCTTGACCAAGTATGAAGATAGGATGTTAATTTGAAGAAAACACTTTTTAAATGTGGGTATAAATAACTGGAAGTCATGTGTTAAAAAATATTTACAGTTTAATAAATATTTACAGAATATACATACAAATGTAAGACAAGATGCTAATTACATTCGAAGATTTATCTACAAGATTGTTTAGCTATTAGTATTCAAATCTCGCTCGAAAAAAGTTTATTGCCATTGGTTTTCCTAAATTGTACTTATCTGCAAAGGCTTTGCTGGAAAAATTCGTTCGATAGATGTCCTTCCTGAGGGAGGAAAAATTTAAAAATTACAACGAGGTAATGATTTAATAATGGAATAAATAGGAGGTGTGAGGAAAAGGGGGGAAGGGAAGAGAATAACGAGAAAACTAGCTATATCAGAGGAGCGCGTATACACGTGAGAAGAACAAGGAGACAAGTGATAGTGCGTAACCATAGATACATACCAAAGACATAAAGACGGAGCGCTAAAAGAGAAAAAATAAGCTACTTTTGGCCACCTCCCCTTTTGGATAGAGGATAGATCGTATTCGATACATCAAACGGGTGAGATTGTATCGATATCGATTGGTTCAAAATATAAACATAGCCTCAAAAATCAATTCTGAAATCTGAGGGAACGGGTCTTTTATAACAGATTTTGTATTCCTTTGAGTACCAAATGCCAATGCAAAGTGAAATTGTTAGGCATTTTCTCCTTTTCAGCTTTTCCAACTTAAATCCTGTTAGTTTGGTTTGAGGTTATGTTCTATTGTTTTGAACCAAACGATACATCGAACCACTATCGAATACGATCTGTTATCGGCAAAATCGGGACAAGTTTGAAATTCAAATGAAGAGCGGGAACGAAATGAAATTGCGTAAACAAAGCAAAGGTTGATTTTTGCGCAAATTCACTTACCCACATATGTTTTTAAAACTTAAGCGGCTTATTAATCTCACTTCGAGGGTAAGGATAATCTAGGACTGAAACGGTCTGTTTGAACTGGCGCGGCTTGCGTGGCCCCCACAAGCAACAGAAAAACTAACTTTATCGGAGATTCCAGCATATTACCAAGCCAAAGTAGGTTTATTATAAATAGTCACCATCCGAACTTTATTAATTTGTTCTTTTTAGGCATTTAAAACGAGATTAGTAGAAGAAAAGTGGACAAATAAAGAGGACAAGTTCAAATCAAATTCCGTTTGCCGCGCATGGATTCCCTCGCTCATTTACACACTCACACAAGCGCCCGGTGCTTTTTTCCCCCCGCGTGCTCTTGGATACGAGCACTCAGTCTTTATGCCTTTGATACATACATATGAAATATACAGGCGAAATTGTACAAGAGGTTAAATTATTGATTTCTCGAAAAAGAGTAGCTATTGAGGAAACGGCTTGCTGCTCGCATGTTCCTAATCATTTGTCATCATCCCACGCACTTAATTCGAGCACTTGATAAAATGAGACAGAAACTCAATTTTACGTGTGTAGACAATTTGGTTGGACATGCTCAACTGATATCATCATTTTTACTTTAGACGTTGCCTATTTTCCTGTGATGTCTCATTTGCCAGAGCACAAACAGAAAACCAAGCAAAACTGAAGCTTGAAATTGTGTGCGTAAGCACCTACTTCATAACTTAGAAAAAATCCACTGACAGTTAAAAGGATGAGATAAAGGGATTCCCTGTTTAAAAACGTAAGAGAAAAGGCAACGCTAAATTCAGATAAATGGGTCGAATATAACATGGGAGAGAAGAACGGAAACTGAAGAGATTGTCTACTAACCTGGATGATATTTTTTTCTCCTTGAATTTTAGTTTATCAGGCTGTCGATATACTAGAAACACGTATCGAAGTAAGCCTAGAAAAAAGTGGAACAGGTTCAACTAAATGAAGGGCTGTATTTTCTTCAGAAAGTTACTTCTAACCACGAGGAACCGTTTTTTAGAGGATCAATTTTATTTATTTATGTTTTTTTTTTTTTTATTCGCTGCCAATTTTTAATAGATCATTTCTTTACTATTGTGAAATCGTGAGAGCACAGAAGACTGCTTATCTCCTTACAATTAATTCGAGTATGGACCATTTTGAATGAAAGTCTAGAATTCCTGATTTCAATGATAGTACTAAAATGCTGGAGATGGGTTTGGTTTGTTCCCACAACTTACCCAACTACGCGGTATACTATTTAGTATCACGCAGAAATGGAGGCGCACTTACTGGAATCACAGTGAACTACCTCTGTGAAACGTCTGGGATGCGGATCAATATTCGACAGTCCTGCATATTCAACAATCGATTTTCAAAATTTTGGTGAGGCAGCATTAATTGCATACGTATCAAATACGAGTACTAGCGTGAAATAAACAATATTCATTCTCAAGTATCAGGTTGATGATCCGGACGTGCATATTAAATCAACAAAAAATCAAACACACCGTCTATCAACCTATTGTTTACATTGATTCATTTGAATTGACACAGATTGTGTTAGACAAAAAAGTTTCTCAAACGTACCTTTATTCTCTGGTGGATCCGGGCCCATGTATTCGGTTAAATACTCTCCTGCAAGAAAATCAAACCCTTTTATGTTCACAATAATCCAATATTGTTTTTCTTTGAACGATGTGTATTTCTTAGGTTTTTCATCGATACCTGAAATCCAATTATCTGTATTACTTTTTTACTAATAACAAACAAAAAATACAGGGTCAAGGCTAAAAAAAACAGATGAATTAATTTTTTACTCTAAACTTAACGAATGCCATAATTTTCGCCTTTGTAATTAGATGTTTGTCCATACCAGCATAACTGCCTGGACATGAATGCAAAGAATGTCGGAAGAGAGGTTGCCCAAACAAGTTTTGGATTGGGTATCACCTGGGAAGAGGCGACGGGGACACGTAAAGAGATGGCGGCAGGGCGTTGACGAAGAGATGTTACGGTTTTAGTTGTCCAAAAACCTCTGAAAGGATAGGCGTATGTGGCGTTTAGGTGTAGCAGAACGCCAGAGTGCGTTGTAGGACCGACTTTACGTATCTACATATAAGAAGATGTATAAAGGAGATTCAGTACATATGCATGGCTGTACAATAAACAATGGCTCGGTTGAGAAAATAACGTGTTTAAAACAATGGCCCAGATTGTTCAATCATAAAATTTATCGCAATATTCCCACCGCGCTTTCAATAAAAATTGCATCAAGTTGATCTTAGGCGATCAAAAGATCAAACCGTGTATTGTTTCTTGCCCTGCTTTTTTACTTTAATTGTATTCCTTAAGAATTTATTTTTAGTCGTGCATGTTTGCATCGCGCTGCAAAATTTAAATATTTTTTAGAATAGATGTTTATCGAAGACTGCCCGAGCTCGACGAATTTAAGTGTGACACCAGGAGGTTACACGCTACGCCTAACCATAAATTAGGTTTTATTTTTAGACCCATCGGTCAATCAAACATTGAATTTTTCTATTTTGAAATGAAGGAGTTTTGGATTGGGTTACGGCTATAGAGTGTTGCAGATTTCTCGATGGAAATACGCGGAGCGAATTATTCTACTTACCCACCATCATCATAGTGTGAAATGTGTCATTGTTAGTTTTCCATTCTAACCAGAATGGTTCCTCAGCCGTAATTTCCGGGTCATTTATTTCATTTCCGAAGATTGCCTCTGTGCCTGTCCATCCACCATCTAACCACCATGCCTAAAAAGGACTCAAACCAAATAAAATGCCAGTGAGTCTGAATTGGCGAACCGTCAAACTAAATTACCTGTAAATATCATTGTGCGAAGCTCCGTTTCATCTGTATTTTGACACGCTCAAAATGTTTCTCTTTTTGTAATAGTCGAATGAATTTCATTTCCAAAGAGCAGTTCAAGGCCCCCAATCCTCTCCACCTAAAAATATGTCAAATAAATTCAGTCTTTTATATTTTAAGCCTGTCAGAAGGGCTGGCTTTTTGAAATCACTCGGATGTATCATATGGCACACCGATCAACGAATGCTATTCAACTGGCGGTCCAAATGGAATGAGGATGTTGTAAAATGTTTCCAAAAGTTATAAATGTAGCTAAATTTAAGTGAGCTCTGCGGATTGTTATTGTCTATAATATAATACTATCTTATATTGTTTATTCAACTCATGTTTAACACTGAGAGCGCTTCATCGACTGTGTAAGAATATTAATAATATTATTACCTGCATCGGCTGCTTTGGAGCCTCCTTTAGGAGGTCAGGGATAATTTTCCAATATTTTAGATCTTCTTCAAGTTCTATCGGATCTTTGAGGAGAACATCCTTCATCTTCACATTCTGTGTTGATGTAAATGGCACCTCTGTTAATTTAACTAATCTTACTGTCAGGAATAACGACACAAATCTATTGTAAAACTTCATCACTGCTGGCTTACATAACCTCTCAGCCACCCGTCATATTTGACTCCGGAATATTTGTGCGGTAATTTCTTAATATTCTTACGGTCTAAGAGAAAAGCATCTTTGATAAAGGGTATATCAGCCACTCATCACAATAATAATTGCAAACAGAGAAGCTCTTTGATCCGATTTTTGATTCATCAAACCCACACTGGTGACTATCTCTTTTTTTAATCACCCATTTTAGTCATGCTGAATTACGCAATTTCCCTGAACTTTTTTAAAAATGCACGGAGGAAGAAGATCTAAAAATGTTGAAGCAAGTTTGACCCTGAAAGCTCAAAACTTGAAAGAGATATGAGCCTCAAAGGACCAAAGCCAAAACGTGCTGTAAGTTTTTGAAAAAGTTACAGAAAATTTTCTCCTCGAAGCGTCAGTCACCTCAAATATGCACTCTTTTTAAGGCAACGTCTGGTATTCGTTCGAAAATGGCATTTCTTAATTATATATTTACTCTGATTTTACTTAGGTCAGTAAACAGAGAACGAACCACTCATCATCATTGGCAATTTTAGAGGCTCTTTGATATCTAGTATAATTTTAAATTCTCGCAGATTCTTTTTCATTTGAGAAAAAGCCATCTTTAAGACCATTGAATCACTTAGACAAGGCGGCCGCAACCGTTCGATATCGATTGTGGTGAGCTTCCTCAAAAGCTAAGACAATAGGTTACGCAAAAGATAGCATGCATTCTATATACTTCGTTCAATTTTTTCAAATTTCAATTTTTTTAAATTGCTTTTGAGTTGAATATCTTCTATCTAAGTGCAGAGTCACGGTGTCTTCTTGGTAGATTTGGTTGGGCTTCTCTTTGTCGAAAACAAAGACTCCAAGGAGGAGGGTAATGTGGGTTTAGGCATCCATTCGGTTTGAAAGAAATTCACTGCAACGGGCTCACCCAATTGATACTTCTCAGCAAACTGGTAGTTCGAAAAATTTGCTCGTGGATCGTCAAAATACCTATTGGATAGAAAAATAAATATTACACCCAAAAATTTCTCACATTTTACTCGTCAATTTTGATAAATTATACCGAGGTACCGAAACACTTTAGGTTATGTGATAGAACTTTGGCGGTTGAACCTCAAGTTTCCGAATGCACAATCACTAAGGCAATGTAAATAATGCATGCAGCTGCAACCGCAATGTATTTTCCACAATGTGCCTACATTTTCTGAGTGATTGCTGTATCTAATGCACTGGCTTTAAGTGTAGAGTGTGACGTTTATTTCGCTTTTAACAAACGTACCCTTTGAAATGTAACCATGGTCTTTACAGCACTCCTATATACGTGTCTCATGTTTATTTAAATAATGAATTAGACCTGTGGGTAATATGATGTGGGGCTGCGTCTTCATATACTTATGCTCATATCATACGCTATAATTTGGGGACAAGGAGAAATAACTCATTCAAAATTACTCACGGAGACTTGATAGATTTTTCATCGAATATCAGTTTTCTAGGTTGCTTATAAACAACGATCCCGTGTCGATGCAGGCCTGGAAAATAATAAAGAAGGATCTGAATTAATCATTCCCATTTCCATTGCCGTTTTTTTCAACAATGAGATAAAATGCATGAAGAGACAAAACTGTTTTGTTCTATAATTTTAGATTACGTCGATGAAAGTTTCGGAGGCGGATAAATCCTTCTCCTAAGCGTTTCTAGGTAAAGTAAAAAACCATGAATTTTGTAAATTCAAATGTGATCAGAATAGGATTAACTTCTAGCTTGATCTCAATAGATTTTTACACTCCCAATTTCTGGGAATGAACGTTTTGTCAACTTTAAAAAGAACATAAGTCCAGTAGCAACAGGAGTTTTTGAAGAGAGAGATTGCACATTCAAACTTATCAGAGATTTGAAGAAGAGAGAGAATGTTGGAGGATCATTTCATTGGCATTCAGATATTAAAATTGAATTTCATTGCCAACAATAAATTGACTTTAAAATAAATTATTCCTCCAGCGGGGCGATTATTGAAATGATATCGACTGTATGTCAGCGCTTTGTCGTGTCGCGCCATCGACTAAGCAATGGCTTAGTCGATGGCGCGACTCGACAAAGCGCTGACATACAGTCGATATCATTTCAATAATCGCCCCACTGTTTGGAATTTGCAAAATGTCCCAAAAAATTCAAGAATGCCCAGTTCTACGTTTTAAAATGAAGGTAACAAAAGCATAGCTTTAAACTGGCAGACATTTTATAGAGACAATTGGATTACAGTTTGCAACAAGGAGCCACTATCTCTGGCTCTTCTGTAAAAGCACCTTTCTGCATAGGGAAACTAATGGCATTCTTAAATGAGCCAGAAATAGTGGTTCCTTATTGCAAAATGCAATCCAATTATTCTCCTCAAATCTGAGTTTGCAGTGTAACCGTGGCTTACTTAGTGGTATTATTAAAAGTAAAGGTTCATATTTTTAACACCTGTGCCGTTAGCAGGATTAGGACCTTTGTACTTATAAAGTTCGGTCCCATCGTGAGTTCTATTTCCCGGTATGTTGACAATCAGCCAGTGCAAATATTCTCGCAGGGATGGTTCCTCGCGAGAGGGTTCGTCGAGACCTACAGGTAAATCAGAAATAAAATTGAAAAGCTTTAAGAAACAAATGATTATTCTCAAAACTTATCTGCTTATTCATTATAATCATACTAATAAACTTTGAACAATGTATGTCTAAGTGCTACGATTCTTTTAATTGAACGATATCTTGTTTTAGAATCCATGTATAGCAAGTGTCCACAATTACTAATATTGCACTTTAGTTTAAAATTTTTTTACTTAAGTAAATGTACTTATATATGTTTATATGAGGGTAAAAAGGGATTATTTCACAATACCTTGCAAGTATATCCCAAACGTATCTCCTCCAAAACGGGTCATTTTTCGCAAATTTTTTAAACTTGTTGGCCTTTGAATTACACATTTTTCTGCACGAAATTTTTTGAGGGTCCTCAATGGTTCTGATTCTACTTTTTGGCCCGCTCAAAATTTAATTTGCATCGAAATTAGGTTTGGTTCAGATTAATGATTCTCAAACTCATGACCAGACCACAAATATACGAAAAAAAAAACCCGAGTGGCAAACTTACGGAGCACTCTTACAGGTGGAAATAAAACACATGAAAAAGGAGCATTGCGTGATTTTTTAAACTTTTCTATGTCATGTCATGTCTTTTCTATGTCTTTGTCAAATTGATCCCAGTCAATCGCGCGACTGAGAAAAGGTGTGGTAACTTCCAAAAACTTTTTAGACTGTACACTCTGAATATAGATGTGATAACAACTTCTGTCAGCTGGAGACATGAATACCTACTTTATTCGGTGAAATAATGATAGGATACCAACCTGCCATGATAAATGTGTACCATTCCGATTTATTGCCCCTATAATCTATCAAATACGGGGGGAAGTCAGCTACGTCAACTGGAATCAAATTTCCAAGTTCAGCAAAGTGTCCTTCCACCCATTGTACCTGAGAAAAACAATTTTAATGATACTAAATATCTCACTACGAATCAGTAATTTGTAAAATTTTTAGTAGAGCTAGTACAATGAATCATGTCTGTCGACTACCAAGACTAAGACTGCCAACCAAGACTTTGTTGGGGCGGAGTTAGATGGGTGTTCGGTTTACAGAGTCGTCCTGTTTTTTGAGCATAACTATGTTGAGTGGAATCGGTGATAAGGTATCGGCAATTCTAAGGATGCCTTTATCTTGTAATTTATTCCACATTACAAGGGCATGATAAAACAATGACAAAAATGAGCGGAAAAATGACTAACCGAACAACTCTATTCGGTCTTTTCTTGCGGCTGTCGCCAGGTGGTAGTCATAAATTGAGCCGCCTTTATTTAAATTTTACGAAGCCTGGGTCATCCCAGGCTTCTTTATATAGCATGATGAATCTGTGATTTCTCCCATTTAAAAATGTAAAAGTTCATATTTTGCCACTGTTTGTTCTAACGATCTACGGGGCCAATTTTTAAGAGTTTTGTGCCTATCGTGATGCGATGAGTTCGCTCTATTTAGATTTACCCACAGGGGCCCGCGAAGCGTCTCTTTGGGTTAGGCTGCGTAGTGGCCAGGAGGCTGGCATTGCCCAGTTTTTGTAACATCTTCATACAAAAGCTTACAGTGCAAACAATAAACGGAACATCAAAGACGAAGTCAGCGATGAGATGATGTCTGAGAAGGTCAACAGTCAGTTCTCCTCGCGACCTGTGAATGTAACCAGGTTTTGTTGTTGTCGTTGGCGGTTGAGCAGAGACAAACTCTCTGTCCCTCTGACGTTGGGCCTCCATCAATGCCTGCACATCCTTGTCCGACATTTCGTCATCGTACTGACAAACGGAGAATCCGATCAACGAGAGAATAGCCACGAGAACCAGGTTTGACAGTGTCCAATCCCGTGTCAAAATCATATTCTAGAATTCAGACAATTTCCTTTCATTTCATGTACAAAGAGGCCAATGGTTGGTTGCAAACGTTGATATTTGGTTACCTGAATATGAACATGCTACTTCAACACTTTTAGAAGCTCCGCAAGGTTGGCAATATGCAAAGGTTTTCCTCCATAGTCATCTATGTTGAATGATCGATTCTTCTCGGAGCACCTCGACTTCACCAAAGAATCGATTTATTTTCATAGGTTGAAATGGAGAGAAAACAATGTTGCCAACTCGATGGATCCACTAATGACACCTTTTATCATTTTTCAAAATATTTTATGATGAGGTAAATTATTAGCCTTTTTGTCGATGGACTGAACCAGCAGAATAATATTAATAATAATGTATTCGGTACTACCCGGGGGCCCCAACTACCGGGGGCTCTCAGTGACCGGGACAATAAGCAAAGTGTACGGGAAGATACTGAAAGCGAAGATCGAGGACGAATGGCAGGATCACGAAGCAGAGGAGCAGGCTGGTTTTAGAGCTGGCAGGTCTACGATAGATCATCTCTTTGTTATTGTCCAGGTCATTGAGAAGAAAATGGCCGTAGCTCAGGAGCTGCATTTAATTTTCGTGGATCTCCAGAAAGCGTATGACAGTGTGCCGTTGGTGAAACTTTGGGAGGCCTTGGAAAAATCGAATTTTAACGGGGGGTTGATTGATGCTGTCAAGCGATTTTATAAAGGGAGTTTTACCAAAATTAAGTATCATGGGGGGTTGTCAGCAGGATTTTATGTGACTAAGGGTTTAAAACAGGGATGTTGTTTGTCGCCAACATTATTTAAAATTTACCTCGAATGTGTGCTAAAGGAATGGAAAAGGAAGTGTTCTGGTATGGGTGTCCCCTTGGGTGATCTTGAAACTCTGTTCACTCTGTGCTTTGCTGATGACCAGGTGGTGGTTGCTCAAGATCAAGAAGACGCGGAGTACATGATGCGCAAGTTAGTAGAAGAATATCGGAAGTGGGGTTTGGAAGTCAGCATATCCAAATCTGAGAAGATGACTTTTGGTGGTGATCAGCAAAGCATTGAGTTGGAGGATGGGCAGCAGATCAAATGCTGCGAGCACTTCAAGTACTTGGGAGTGCGGTTGACCCAGGATGGAAGGACGGATCAAGCTATCAGGGAAAGGAACACCTTAGCAAGGAAGGCTATAGCGATGTTAAATGGAATCCTCTGGGATCAGCGGATTTCCAAAGATAACAAGAGGAGGATATACAACGCTGTAGTAAAAAGTATATTAACATACGGATGTGAAGTTTGGCAGCTGAAGAAACGGACACAGGATATGCTAAGAGCAACGGAGATGGATTTCTGGAGAAGGTCGGCAGGAATTTCTAGGAGAGATCGGGTCCGTAATGATAGAGTGCGTCAGATAATGGAAGTCGAAAATGACATCGTGTTCGACGTCATGACCAAACAACTTGTTTGGTATGGTCATGTCAATAGGATGACGGAAGAGAGGCTGCCAAAAAAGATGCTTGATTGGGTTCCTCCTGGGAGGAGGCGTAGGGGACGCCCAGTGAGAGGTTGGCGACAGGGGGTATTAAGTGAGATGAGGGAGTGTCAACTCCCTGATAACCTGTGGGAAGACCGAGCTTTGTGGCGTTTAGGTGTCGCAAAGCGCCAAAGAGCGCTATAACAGCGACTCGTATGTATGTATAATGTATTCGGTGCAATTAATAATTGGTTGTAGTCAGCCACTCAGATGATAATTGTTCCGTTAACTTTACATGTTGTTCTGGAATCTATTCGAGTAAATTGCACATTTTTAGGTATTTTTATGTTGTATATGCCGTATGTATAAAGTTAGGTGTCCGTAAAAGTAAACTTTTGCAATAAGCACTCCCTACTGGGATAGAGGTGAGTGAATTTTAAGAGGCCTTTAAAATATATTTTCCTTTTTTAAAACAAGTGGAAAATTCGTGTTTCTTATTATACAAACGTGAAATATCGAAGTACATTGAAATACCAATTACTTGGAGAAAAAGTATTTTTATGGTTTTATCTTTTTTTGAATTCGTTTTTTTTTTTTCGTTTTTGGTTTCATTAATTTTCGACCGTTTTTCGTAAACAAATTAGGTTTAAATTTTAACACATTTAATTTGCTTCAAACATAGCACTTAGACCTTCGACTCTTATATTACTCTGCACAATTCCATTGGCCGTAAATAATAACCAAATTTTAAGCCTGCTGAAAGTTGGTATATCCAAATTATTCAGATAAGTTTTCGAGAAATAATTAAAAAGTACGGAAGACTGTGTATTTAAGGGGGAAATGAGAAAAAAGAACATTATGAAATCAAAAGTTTTACAAATTTGATTTAACGTCTTTAATATAAATTAAAGCTTTCCTTCTTCTACCGAAAAAAAGGATAACTCGAACAATTTAATCGTAAAAATATTATTTTTGAAAAATGGGAATACACAAATATGCATGCTACGTTTGGTGAAAATGGTGATCATTTTTGAAAGTAACGAATGGTAAATGTATAAAAAATCACATTGCTAACTAAATATAAATGGATAAGAAGCTCATGAGAATAGTACACTTTTTAGATGCCTTGAGGAAGACAATATCGACATTAAATCACACACTATAAAATCAATGAGCCTCAGCGGTTTTATCAGAGGTGGCATACTTGCCTTATCAAATCAGGGCGAGAATCTTGATCCGATACCTAGTTTAAAAATAATCCATAATACATGGAAGACATTGTAGAGGACACATGTGCAAGAATTTCCGAGATGAAAATTTGAAATTATACGCCTCATAGTCTCTCCAGTTCAAAAGCTTAAAAATGTAGCTCTCAAGCTTTGATTTACATTTAAAGAATGTTTTCCTTCCTCATGCCATCCAAAATATTGTATTTACCTTCGAATAAATATATTTTGGAAAGACGCGATTTATGTAAGGACAGGTTCACGTAGTTTTACTGTCGATATTCAAATTACCTGCAATATTATTAGGGCTGCAACTATGGCTGAGTGTAAGTGAGTGACTAAAACGGTGGAGCAGCGTGTCCGGAGACGAAAAAATTAATTGCAATTGGCTTGCCCAGATTGTACTTTTTAGCGAAGGATTGGTGAGAAAAGTTGCCTCTTTGATCTAAAAATTGGCTGGAATAACAAGAACACAGAATAGCGAATAAGTGTACAAGATTCCCAGGTGACCGATGTCAGCATAAAATATTTATCTTCTCAAAATTAAAAAAAAAATAAAAAAATAAAAAAAAACAGTTTTCCTTCGAGAGTAAATTTTTAAAGAAAAGAGGGCCCCGGAAATGTTCGTATGGGGCAAGTAGCCACCCTTCGCATGGCAGCCATGAAAGCTTTTATGCTAGCATACATATGCCTGCTGTTTAGGCTGCTTTGATGGCTTCTGAGCCATGTTGCTGCGCCATAAAAGCGATGATCCAGATAAAGTAAAAACACAGCCATCTATTAAGGGTATCAAATAAACTGTTTGATTGGGTTCCTCTTGAGAGGGGACAAAAGGGACGTCCAGTAAAAAAGTGGCGACAGGGGGCTTTAAATGATATGAGGGAATGCCAACTCCCTGACGGGTTGTGGGAGGACCGAGTTTAGTGGCGGTTAGGCATCGCAGAGCGGCAGAGAGCGTTGTGAAAGCGACTCTCATGGTGATGATGATGATGACGACGATATAAATTGTTTATTTTTTTAAGAAAAAAAGAGCGGAAGAAGAAAACTGGTTTCTAACTTACGTTTCTGTCAAGTGATGTTCCATGAAATCAAGTTTTTGAGGTTGGCGGTAGACTAAAAATACATAACGATGTGGTCCTAAAGGATCAAGTACAAATAAGAGAAAATTCAAATAAATTTTGCTTAAATGTATCCTAAATACTAGTTTTTTCCTATAACACTAATTGATGCAGACAGTGTCCCTTTACTATATTTTGAGAGACTTTAAAAAAAAATTATTCGACATTTCTATGGAGTAATACCAATTTCAGCTCATGAAATTGAAAAACGATTCTCTTCCGCATTATTTGAGACGCTGCATTCGACTTGGACGTTTTTACACGAGTCGAGTTTCAGTATTTTTGGTATTCACTTATATTAAGTAGATGGTGAGTAAGTTTGTATGCTGTTGATCAAAGTCAAATTTCGTTCATAGATCCATTCGAGTTTTGCTAAAAAGACTCTCTGAGACGTTTTAGTCTTCTTTAATAACGTCTCGACAATATGGGGTAAACCGTGGAAAACTTTTCGTAACATTAAAGAAGGGCGTAACCGCATATGGGCTGTGTGCTTCTCTAGAAGCATATGTTCTAAAAGTGGGCATATGATAAAAGCAAGGCAATACCGGATCCATTGGCAGGTCTTGGTGGTATCCACGCAGCTATTTCCTCGCCACGAATAAAGTTAAATTCCTCAACATTGCCAACAATCCAGAATTGATATTGGCGCAAATACGGGTTTGTCACAGACGGCTCATCAAGTCCTAGATGTTTTTATCAAAACAGATGAAAGCAAAGTTACCTTAAAATTAATGCGACGACGTTACTTTACTGAATTAGTGTATGCTATTCAACTTGTTTTCAAATAATCAATTTAATGACTATACAAGTAGCAAAGAAAAGTGCAACAACTAAACATTTCTGTTTGTTTGCACTTTCATAGGCATGGACAATCAAATTTCTCAACAATTCTTTTAATCAGCCATCGAATTTCAAGGAATGGAAAAAATGCTTAAATCTAGACAAAATCCAAATGTGTTTCTTAATGAGTAATTTAATTGGTAATTTCAAAGTTCCGGAGCACCCTAATCATATTCAAAAAAATCACATGCTCAAACTTGCCAAGAGAATAATTAAAATACAGGTAGCTGATCCAATATGACGCTTATGTTAGAGAAGCCTTATGAGAATATCTTTTAATACCTCACCAAGCATCATCACAGTGTGTAATTCGTAATAGTCGCATTTCCACTCGATCCAAAAAGGAGCTATTTTGATGACGTATGTCTCGATATAATTCCCAAACTCTGCTTCTTCCTCTATCCATTCTACCTGCCACAGAGTATCGCAATATTTTCAAAAATTTCACTTATGCGCCTTGTCACCTAAGCCCCTCAAAAGTCCTTTAAGTAACAAAAAGTATACACGAAATATCGAGTCAACAAGTGCAGCAAAATACATGACCTTGTCAACAAACGGACTATTTTTTTACTATTTTTTTTTGCATGCTAAGGAATAACGACCTCATTGAAGAATCTTTAAGATACAAATGATAAATACTTTATCCTTTCATGAAGCCACATTCTCTTTAAGCTAATTGCTGGGTCTGATGAAGGATTTTTAATTTTCTTGCCTGAATCAAGTAAATAATTCCAATTGATGAGTCTGTACTGACACCAAAAATTTTAATTAACGTAATCTGATAAGTGGATAGGGATCTGATTTTCAGGGAAAAAATTTCCCTGAACTTCTTAACGAAGCACGAAGGTAGAAAATCTAGACATTTTCGCAATTTTGATCCTGAAAGCTCAACACATGAAAGAGAAACGAGCCTTAAAGAGCCAATTCAAAAATTCCTGGGTTGTAGAAAAACGTGCTGTGAGTTTTTGAAAAAGTTTCAGAAAATTTTCTTACGGGAGATCTGGTCACAAACATGCACCTTTTTTGGAGCAGCGTTTGGTATTCGCTCGAAAGTGTGCATTCCATGTTTATCTGCTTTTGCTTAAGGTATCATACAGAGAATGAGCTACTCACCATCATTGGCAATTTTGGAGGCTCGTTTATGAGATCTGGTAAAACCCTAAATTCTCGCAGTTTTTTCTTGATTTGGGCAAAAGACATCTGCAAGATCATTGAATCACTTGGACAAGGCGGACGAAACCATTCATTATCGATCGTGGTGAGCTCTTCAAAAGCTAAAACAATGAGCTCATCAAAAGATAGCATAGCTACAAATAATAATATCAACATTGCGGAATCATAACCTAGTGAAATATAAACTGATTTTTAAATTTAACCGTTCACTGCAGCAGATCAATAAGTCAGTAGTTGAAGCAGCAATTTAAAATTATCAGTAGAGCTCCACTAATGCTGTGAAGTTAATGTAATGACATTGTGACGTAATCATCATATTTTGAATGTACATTTTGAGGTGATGAAAGGTAGGCTGTTTTGAAGAAGATTATTTTTATGCATGGGAGGTAAGTTTACATAGATTACATTAGGTAAATTAAATGAAGAAATGCCTTTCCATGCAAGGCAATAATTTTATCTTAGGAATGGTTATGAACTATATGAAGCAGCTGGATCAGCGCAAATGAATACTCATTTCTTAGGTGACGCTGTACATGGATGACTAAGCATAACAAAACACACGACTCAGCGTAGAGCGTGTATCGACGGTTTAAGTAGGCAATCACGTAACTCGATTTGCGACGTCGCAGACTTCCTGTTATACTTTATTTTCTAAACGGAAAACTACTCAACGACAATTCTTTGTAACTTCCGAGATTTTCTTCTCTGTGCGAAAATAATTCTGCAAAAACTTTTTGTCTTCGCCTTTAAAAAAATAACATAGAGGCGAAGATTTTCAGACACCTCAAACGAGAGATATGTGATTGCTGGACTTACGCCGTCGATATTGCATTTTTCTGAAATTTCCATAAAGGTTGACGTGCTTTCATTTGTTCAATTTGCTCCGAGTGAGGATTGCATTATGCAAAATAATTTTACGTGCGGGATTACAAAATCTGATTGGCTTTGCACTTCAATATTATCTCGATTGGTTTCTACCAAGAAATTTATTTGCACAACCATCCTTTTTCCTTTGTGTTTATGGGCACCATTGTACACGGCAGCATCTTTCCAGTTATAAGTCAACGCATTAGCGTTTTTTTTCTTTTTCTTTTAAAACAAATTTTGATGCAGTTGGACTTTCTTTAGTTTTAGATCATCCAATTCTCGCAAATACATACAATAAGTGGAAAAAAATGTATTTTTTATTGCATTTACTTTGCTTGCGTAAAATCGAGATAAAAGATCCAATCCATCAACAAATTCGAAAAATCATCTTCTTTCATGTATTTTTTGTTTGAAAGGGTTAAAATGAAACCTTGATCCATTCATTGAATTAATTAATCCCTATTTTTTTAAATAACTAAGGATGTTTCTTTCATCGGTAAGACAATTTTGCGATGACAAATTTTGTCCACAAATCCTTAATGGAGAGAAACCAATAGCTATGAGTTCCTTGCAAGCATCATAAATGCAGGAATATCGCGAGAGAGATTGCATCTGAGCAAGATCAGACAACTCAGAGAGCTACCCTTCAGAGGCTGAGAAATTGAGTTCCTAATTTTAGTATACTTTTGATTCAAGGTAGTAAACTAGAACCCACGCAAAAACTAGACCTCTTGATGTTTTTGTCATGGGAACGGAGTTCCCCATGATATTATTGTCATGAGAACGGAGTTCCCCATGATATTACAATCGTTCCGTTGCTTTCGCTATGGGATTCCCTATACCTCTGCGACCTTGAGCGTTTCGCCCGGTCTCCGATTTTTGGTTGATTTTCCGATGTATCAAAAACCGTTGTATTTTTTAGCCAATCATGTCTCTACGTCAAGTTGTGTTGATTTCTAAAATTCGCTTTCAGCGAGTTTTTTCCACCTCGAGATGTCGTGTCTGACTGGTAAATCTGCGCAGAACCACGAAGTTCCGTTTTTAGGCAAATTCTTTTTTTTGGGAGGTTTTCATTGGCTATTTTTCGCCATCAGTTTTCTGTTCGTTGGTGCAAAAGATCGCCTACCTCGGTGTTCTTGAGAAGCCGCCATTATCCCACCTCAAATTTGAAAGATAGAAGAAAAGAAATAATAACCATCGTACAAGGCGGAAAATTGTTCTGGAGGACCCGTTACGGATATATGAGCCAAAATCAGAACTCGATTGATGGATTTAATCCATGAATACAGAAATATTGCCTCAGTTTACTGCCGCGATAGCAAATGCAACCTGAGATGAACCTTGTGACACATGAAAGCAATGGCAAACAATGTCTCACAGAGAAATGCGCTTAATCCGCTGTCTCTTAACAGCAGTGGCCGGATGTCAAGGTCGTCTTTTGTGAAGCCCCGCTCAGCGTCCGAGATCACTTAACTGTTATCTTTTCTCCAATCGTGAATGAGCGTCGAGATAGCTCGGTTGTTTGAGATGCCAAGTCTGTGCTTCATGCATATCCTTTTTGTTGCGAGCGGGGGTTCGAATCTTGTAGACGACAGTTAATTTTTACTGGTTGTATTGAATGTTTTAGACCAATCATCTAACAATAATTAATACTTGGCAACTTAGGAAGCACATAGGTCCCTTATGATGCGTATTCGGGCATATGTGTACAGTAAAAATATCATACGTAGGGTGTCCCAAAAGTACCGGGACTGGTTCTGTAACTTCAAAAGTAAGATAGATACAGACATGATTTTGGTCTCATTTTAAAGATCAACTCAATACCTATCGATTAAAACCAAGATCAACTCAATCGAATAAAAATTGACCGAGCTATGACAATTTGAAATTAGTGAGGAAAGTTTACCCCTACGGTTTTTAGGAAGATTTTTCGCTTACCAGCATTCAAAAAGTTAATATTCGTATCCACTTTCCTCCGAATCTTCCATAACTTCCTTTTGCTTTTCAAAGTACCGTCCATCAAACCGGATGCACTTTTTCATGCGCTCTTGCCACTTATCCAACATTGTTTTCCTGAATTCTTCCTCTGGGATGGAGTTGAAGAAGTTTTGAATTGCATTCTGGATTTCGGTCTTCGATACGAATCTTCGTCCGCGAAGCTCCTTTTTTAGCGTGGGAAACATCCAAAAATCACATGGAGCCAAGTCAGGGCTATAAGGGGGATGAGGGATTGTTTCAACTCCATTTTTACTCATAAATTCACGTGTTAAGCTCGATGTGTGAGGCCGCGCATTGTCTTGATGGAGTATCCACGAAGCTTTCAAGTCCGACCGTTTCCGGGAAATGTGCATTCTCAACTCCTTTAGTACTTTGCAATAATACGCACTGTCAACTGTTGTGTTTGATGGTACAAAATGTTGATAAATGACACCTCGAAAATAAAAAAACACAATAAGCATCACTTTATCGGCCGACTTTTCGATTTACGGCGATGAAGAATCTTCCTTAAAAACCGTAGGCGTAAACTTTCCTCGCTGATTTCAAATTGCCATAACTCGGTCAATTTTTATCCGATTGAGCTGATCTTGGTTTTAATCGATGGGTATTGAGTTGATCTTTAAAATGAGATCAAGATCATGTCTGTATCTATCTTACTTTCGAAGTTACAGAACAAGTCCCGGTGCTTTTGGGACACCTTACGTATACTTTACGCCGAAAAAGCGAACCTGAAACTTAAATGCGTTAACTTCCGAAAACCATATATAATCCAACGAAAATAAATAATTAGTGCATAACAGCTTTCTTGTATGCAAAGAAAATAATTAAAAATGTTAAAAAAGAGATGTCAACGCAAAATTACACAGCCCCTTCAATTCAGAAGATACTACAAACGAACTGTACCTTAACATTTTCATATCCCAGAAGCTAACGTTCCCATGACGAATATTGCTATCGCTAGCGATTGCAAAATCCAACTTGTTCTACATTTTCCACAGCTTTCGCAAATCTAGAAGAATACTACAAACTTAAAATTGTCTGGGGACAAAAAGTGAAAGTGGGTGGTTGCAATGGACAAAGGAGGTAGGTAATAGACTAAGTAACGGCAACTCACGAGAGACCTGATAGTCAGTCCATCATTTTCTCCCTTAGTCTATAGGAACCACCCATTTCAACTAATAGGATCGCTCTATACTCCCTATGCCTCCTTTGTCTATAGCTTACTCTATAAATTTCAATAATCAGCCCGCAGGTGATAATCAGCACATCTAAGCATAGTGCTTGGATTATGATTTAACTGTTTCAGTAAGAATAAAGTTTCACAAGAAAAAAAAGTCACCCAGAGGTTTTGCTTCTAAAGAGTGGCGATGCTATAATTTACTTGTTAAGTTTCTCCAGCGCCTTAAGCTGATACACTTTTGAGCACCTATTTATCCCTCTTACTCCCGTTTCCAAACCTTTTCCTCTTCCTAACCCTCCGAGAGCCTTCGACTGGATTAACATTAATTCGATAAGGATCAACATATATCCTTCACAAATCCTAATAGTTGACACATGCTTTTTCTATCTATCAAGGCAAGATATAGCCTCTTAAAACCTTCAGCTGACACTCTTCGTCCGCTTCTGCTCTGTATTATAAGTGAGAATAGCGTCCCTTGAAATCTCGCGCCTAAAACTGTGGCTTGCTTACCGTGTGTTTATAAATTAGGTCCTTTCAATTAGCACAAAACAAGCAAAAAGTCTAATATTTTGGAATTTACTTTTATTTAGTAAAGATACAATTTCCTGAATTCGATTGCCCACACAACAGTCTAAACTTCAAATAAAATTGATGCATTATTCCGTGAAAACAATTGATTTGTTAATGTTAAAAAGTGATCACTATTTGGTGGTGGTACAGTGCACTCACCTTATAAGATTATCAAGACGGATTATTGCTCTGTGTTCTCTCTCACCAGCCTCGCGTGCTCACTGCTATGGAGTCTCTTCTTAGACCAAGATGTAGTACTTTGTCACCCTTCAATCACGAACTTCACTTAAATAATTAACTTCAAATTTGCTTTTAAGTTCAGTTCAATTTTATTGTATTCGCTTAAAATTGTCTCGATTTTTGAAGGTCAAAATAAGACACAGGATCTCAGTACATTAAATTACCATGCAGTCAAAACTTATGAAAATAATAGGAACGTGAAGTGATTTTGTGGACGGAAGGATAAACTAAGTTCATAAATAGTACGGCTCTTGAAACGTCTCGGATTTCTCGGCTAAAGCCGTATAGTTTTAATTGTATTCATATTAAAGGTTAAATTCAAAATTCGTCTGTAACATTTTTCCGTGGCCGGAGATGTTGTGGTGCGGTGCACTACGTCACCTCATTAGATTATCAGGACTGATTATTGCTCTGGTCTCTCTCTACGGCCTCGTGTACTATGGTGCGAACGAAGAAAGTCTCAAAAGGTTCAAGAGCCTCAACTCGTCTCATCAACCAGAAAAAGTTCTACGGTATCCAGAGCCTCTACTTTGTCATCAGGGAATGTAACATCTGTGACAGTGACGGATTTGCAGTTCTAGGCCCGGCGGTAAAAACTCAAGAATCCATGGTAGAAAAATATAAAAGATCAGTTTAACCAGCATCTAACAGAGCTTACCATGGCCCACAAATTGCAAAAAAATAATGTCATAAGAACGATTGCACGATTGGAAATAAAACATGCTATTGATCTTCAAAAAACCACACGTGAATTGTTAGCAAAATATAAGCCTCCTGCCTCTGCATCTGCAACTAAAATTCAGGCATCAGCTCAAAAGATTGTGTCAGTTAATTCTGGTGTTATGCAAGATAGATGTATTCAAACAACCACCCGGCAAACCCACAAACAGCTCAAGAATTCAGTAGCAAACATCTACTAGTAAAGTGACACCATTGGATGCCAGACCAATGCCCAACATGCCTCCAGTAACCCTTAAAGTAGCTATGTCTCTCTTAAGTAACTTAAGTCTCTTAAGTCTCTTAAGTCTTAAGTGTCTTTATTAATAATTCGTCGCCCACGAGCAGGAGAGTTCGCAATGTCCATCACAGGCTCGCCGCTCATGGTCTATGCTATCATTCGCGATGAAATTCTGTCAGTCTGTGTTCCATTACGGGATGGAAACATTCTTTCAATCCTACCAAAATCAAGGGCTTTTAGCAGAGGATTTGCCGTTCTTGGATGAAGGTTTAAGAGCTTAGCTGGAAACTCTGGGGTCAAATTTGAAAGTTATCATCGGTGACCGTTGATTTATCTCCTCAGTTGTAAAATTTATTTTTATACTTGATTGTAAACAATTACCATAGACTCTCAGAGGTGACTCAAAACCTGCTTTTTGCCCGCTATGTTGCAAAATTTCCAGCGAAAGAACCTGCTCCGTTTTTAGGCCCCATTAAATTGGGCACCGGCTAAACTATTGGTAGAGGACAGAGTAAGAAAATATAGCAAAGAGGATTCAAATATATATAAAATATTATTAGTAGAAAGATGGGAATCTAAATGGTACGGTAATTATGGAGATGAATGGACAAAAACACTTATAAGTAAGATTATTTTTAAAGTAGTATATTTTAGTCGATTAATACTTATCATAGTGAGCAGCTTATGACATAGACAGTAAACGTTTTTTTCATCAAATTTCAATACAGTGTATCTGTAAGACTGGCAGTGCTGCTGTGATCAGGTTCTTGACAGATCTCAAATGGCTAAAATATCTCTATCCTGCGACATGATATGGAGGTTAATAGATTGAGAATTTGATCACAAGATATTGATACTATCTAGAAAAAACTATACACCATTTAAAGTCAAAAGAAAGTTCGATAACTAAAATTATCCATTAAGAAGTTGAACAATCTGCGGACCAGGCTCAGAGTCCCGAGGAATCCGCTTCTCACTACATGAAGTGAAACCACCGAAAGTATCACAAATGTTGATTAAAAGGGGCGAATTAATTTTTTACCTAGTAATAAGTCATTTTATGACAATTTGGAAGAGTTTCAAAGGAAAAATTGGAAAATTTCCGGCTTTTCAATTGATTAGGAGGAATGTAAACAAGCCGCCATAATGCCAACAGCCGACTAGCATCAGTCAACTTTAGGCGAAATCAGAAAATACATGACTGTTGTTCCGTCGGATCCCCGAGAATTAGATGTGCCTCACTGAAAAGCCAACGTGCTCGGTCTCTATTTGTCTCTGCGACTTACACATACATACCTTCTAATAAATATATTTTGGAAAACTGCAATTTATGTAGGAACGTGTTTATGTAGTGTCACCTTTGATATTTAAATTACCTGCAATATTATTAGGGCTGCAACTATGGCTGAGTAAGTACGTGACTACCACGGTGGTGGAGGATCGTGTTCGGCGATGAAAAAATTACTTGCGATTGGCTTGCCCAGATTATACTTTTTAGCGAAGGCTTGATGAGAAAAGTTGCCTCTTCGATCAAGAAAATCACTGGAATAACAAAACCACAGAATAGCGAATAACTGTATGGGATAAAGATGATGAAAAGAGAGAGAAGATTCTGAGGTTATCCAACAAAGGCCCTGAATAAATAAATATTTCAATAATTTTTTTTTCTTGCTTCTAAAGCAAAGAGAAAATCAAATCATACTGCCCACATGTGCTAAGGAAGGGCGGCCAGAGACCCCAGCCCCCTCCCCCCCATCGCTAGTGACTAACCAGCTGGGCGATTATTTAAATTTTGTGTTTGTCGGTCGAACATAGGAGAAATGGAGTCGCATGACCGGTCAGCTATATCTTATTACTATCTATTGGTGCCTATGTTGAGTAGAATTGACGAGTAGATGAATACTAGGGGGCTACGCCCCCTGGCCGCTACGCGGCCCAACCCCCTGAAGGCGCTCCGCGCCATCGATGGGCCGCTTCGCGGCCCTATTTTTACCCTCCTATCAGTGTTAGGTTTATTTTCCCCCTAAAAAATTACGATATGATGTATACTTTACTTGTAGAATGAAATAATTTTTGGTTTTGATGAATAAAGAAAAAAAAATTTTTTTGAAGTCAAAAGAAAGCGTTTTAGAATGACTGCTTGATGAAGTATTGCAGTAAAACAACGAACAATGATAATCAGGTAATAATTAAGTATAACAAAAGTCGGGAATCGAACCCACATCGTAGTCAAAGTGGACGCATTCGACGTCCTAGACGACTCGGCCACCGCTCGTCTTGAGGGAGGAGGTGCGAATCTAGTGTAGATAAGTATAGAGCTGATGCGCAGGCTACACATCCACTGCGCAACCTCTTCGACCACTGCGCATCCTCCCGCGCATAGCGGTAGCAGTCCCGGAGCATTCTGTAAATTCACTCACTTTTATAACGTGATTTTAAAAAAACCTGGGTCCTATTTCCAAAATCTAATTAGAGCGGGCTCATCTAGGGCCAATTACCTGTCGATCTACGCAAAAATCATGGAAATCGGCCCGGTAGAACGCTCAAACGAACTATGACAAAAAGTATAAATTTACATTGTTTAAATGGGAAAATTCGCAACTTTACCACGTAATATAAAAAAACCTGGGCCATATTTTGAAAATCTGAAAAGAGTTGGCTTATCTAGAGACAATTGCCAGTCGATAGCCGCAAAAATCATGAAAATCGGCCCGGTAGAACGCTGGAACTAAGCGTCACCAGTTTCGCAAAATTAGGAGGTCTTGGAGCTTATAGTATAGAAGGTACCTCCGAAGTTGCCGCTAGCATTTTGTCGACTTCCTGTGATGTAGTGGTTGTAGCGCTTGCTCCAGATCCCGGGTTCTATTCCCGGCCAAGTGACCCAAGTTCGATGGTCTCAAACAATGGCTACCATGCGGGGCTGGCTTGATCAGGGACTGAGGGCGATGGTCGTTTAAGGACTGCAGCGTGAAATTACCCCCTCATCATTATTTGAAGAGAGAGAGGGGGGGCGGACTTACTCAACGTAGGCACGAAAAATCAGCGTTAAGACAGAGCCGACCAATCATAACACTCTATTTTATGTATGTCTACCCGACAAACACAAAGTTTACTGGCCTCTGGGTTGAGATCAGAACGCCATACGCGGGTACGTATTATATACGGGATAAGGAATGCTCGGTGTTCGGTCGAAGCGCGCGAGTGGTCTTGGACACCGATTACAAATATTTGCAAACTCCCCCCCCCACACACACACACACCCTCATACAAGAGCTGATGGTTCTCCCTACAATATTCTTAGACGACCGAGGCCAACTTAAAATATTTGTTTTTCTCAACATTCAAAAAACGCTTTTCATCGGAGAAAAAGTGTTCAAAGAGAGCCCTAGAAATGTTTGTATGGGGCATAAGTAGCCACCCTTCGTGGTAGCCATGAAAGCTTCCATGCTAGCATATGACTGCTGTTTAAGCTGCTTTTATGGCCTCTGAGCCATGTTGCTGCGTCATAAAAGCAATGGTCAAGATAAAATAAAAACAAAGCCATCTATTGAAGGTATCAAATCAATTGATAATTTTCTTGAGAAAAAAAGGGAAGATGGAGAAAAATGGTCGCTAACTTACGTTTCTGTCAAATGATATTCCATGAAATCAAGTTTTTGAGGTTGGAGGTAGACTAGAAAGACATAACGATGTGGTCCTACAGGATCAAGTGCACATAAGAGAAAAAAATACAAATACAGTTTGCTTAAATATATCCTAAATAGTGGTTTTCTCCTATGATGCTAATTGACGCAGGTAGTGTTCCTATATGCCATTAGTTTTATTTTGTGATACCTTTAATAAAATTAGTCACCATTCTTATGGTGTTACACAAATTTTAGCTCGTGAACCCAAATAAAAGTGAATCAGCCTAACGTCAGGCTACGTTTCATAAATCACCTTGAGTCTGACTGTTTCAGGCTGACATCAGTCTGACTCAGGGTAGTTTACGAAATATAGCCTGACGTCAGGCTGATTCACTTTTACCGGGGAAATTGTGATAAAAGTTTCTTCCGCAGTATCTGAAATGCTGCATTCGACGTTGGACGTTTTTACACGAGACGATTCAGTCAAAAGTAGATGTTGAGTAATAATTGGACCGCGTTAAACAGAAAGGAACCAAGCCACATCAGCTATTGCCAAATTTAATCGGCTAGTTAAATTTTTTACATGAAAACAGCTGTGCGGATTTTGGTGCATATTTCATGCAGTGAATTTTCTCCATAGTGCGAAGCAAATTCCTTAACATTTTCAAAGGGTTCCGCACAAACGTTTTCTCGTAAAAAATTAAATTGCCCAGTTAAAATTGGCAATAGCTTATGTGGCTTGGTTCCTTTCTGTTAAACGCGGTCCAATTGTGTATGCTGTCGATCGGATTCAAATTGCGTCCATAGATCCATTCGAGTTTTGCAAAAATGGCTCTTCAAGTCGTTTTACTCTTCTCTTCATCTACGTCTCAATGTGTAGTAAGCCGTGGCAAACATTTTGTAACATTAAAGAAGAGCGGAAACCTAAATAGGTTGTGCGCTTTTCTGTGAGCATATGTTCTAAAAGTGGATACATGATAGAAAAAACCACTACCAGATCCGTTGGCAGGTCTTGGTGGTATCCAGGCAGTTAGTTCCTCGCCAATAATGACGTGAAATCCCTCAACATTGCCCATAATCCAGAATTGATATTGGCGTAAATACGGGTTTGTCGCAGACGGCTCATCAAGTCCTGGATGTTGTTATCAAAACAGATGAAAGCAAAGTTACCTTAAAATTAATACAACGACATTACTTCACTGAATTATTTCATGTTACTCAACTGGTTTTAAAATAATCAATTTAATGCCTATATACAAGTACCAAAGAAAAGTGCAACAACTAAACATACCTGTTTGTTTGCACTTTCATCCGCATGGACAATCAAATTTCTCAACAATTATTTTAATCGGTCTTCAAATATCAATGAATGGGAAAAAAATGCTGAAATCTATACAAAATACAATTGTACTTCACTTAATGAGTAAAATAATTAAAATACAAGAAGCTGATCCGATATGACGCTTATGCTAGAGGAGCAATATCGTATGAGAATATGTTTTAATAGCTCACCAAGCATCATCACAGTGTGAAAATCGTATTTTTCGCATTTCCACTCGACCCAAAAAGGAGCCAATTTGATAATGTATCTCTCGATATAATTCCCAAACTCTGCTTCTTCTTCTACCCATTCGACTTGTCACAAAACATGATGAAAATAAAGATGAGACACGTATAAAAATAAAATGAGGGGCTTGGAGGACAAAGCGCACAAGTGCAGTTTTTGTTATTTCGAGAAATGCGTGTTTGAAGTTTGAAAGTTACGTATGAATCCTAATGGCGGAAAGAAAGTTCATACTGATTTTTTGATGCTTAAATATTGGTTTTCGGGAGCGAATTTAAAAAAAAAAATATGCATAAAGACTAGTTTTACTTAAAATCATTAGTATCTCAATTTTCTCAAAAGCTACACTTATGCGGCTTGTCCTCCAAGTCCCTCAAATGTGCTTTTAGTAACAAAAAGGATGAAAAATATTGAGTCAACTAAACACACGACTTCATCAACAAACGGCCAATTTTTTCCTCATTTTTTGCATGCTAACTAATGACAGCCCTAATAACATAAAACATAAAATGAAAAAAAGCTTTGTCCACCTATGAGGCCACAATCCCTTGAAGATAAAAGCTGGGTCTAATGAAGGATTTTTAATTCCCTTTCCTGAATCAAGCAAATAAGACCATAAATTTTAACTAATGTGACCGAATATGTGAAGACCTATTCTTCCAGGAGACAATTTTCCTGAACATTTTAAAAATGCGAGGAAGAAGAAAATCTATGAATTTTGACGGATGATTGACCCTAGAAGCTCAAACGTGCAAAGGAAATATGAGCCTTGAGAAATCGAGGCAAAAATTCCTAGGTTGAAGAAAAACGTGGTTTAAGTTTTTGAAAAAGTTACGGAAAATTCTCTCTCCGAAGTTTCGGTCACCTCAAATATGCACCTTTTTTAAAGCAACGTCTGGTACTCGTTCAAAAATGTGCAATCCTTTTGTATGTTTACTCTGCTTTTGCTTAAGTCATTGTAAAGAGAATGAACTACTCACCATCATTGGCAATTTTGGAGTCTCTTCTATGAGATCTGGTATAACTCTGAATTCTTGCAGTTTCTTCTTCATTTCTGCAACGGACATCTTCAAGACCTTTGAATCACTTGGAATAGGCGGCATAAGCCGTTCAATATCGACTGTGGTAGTCTCCTCAAATGCTAAGACAATGGGCTCCGCAAAAGATAGCATAACTCCAAAAAATAATATTAACATTGTGAAATCATATCCCAGTACAATATGAATAAAAATACCGACAATTTGAATTTAAACGTTGGCAGGAGATTAATAAGTCAGTAGTTTAAGAAGCAATTTAGAATTATCAGTAGGTAAAGCTTCACTAATGCTGAGAAGTTGATGTGATGATGTTGTGACGTAATTCTCATATTTTGAATATACTTTTTGAGGTTATGACAGGAACTTGCTCATGCAACTTCGACCGATCGAGGGCCACTCTGATTGGTCCACGTGGCGACTGCCTCACCTATCGATGCTCCGATAGCCCGGAATCGATTGTTGCTTGCGATAAATATCGACTAGTTTGACGTCACAAAACTATGTGCCGGATTGAAAACATCTGATTGGCTTGGCTTGGCTTTGACCTTCAATATTATCTCGAGTGGTTTCCACCAAGAAATTCGTTTGCACAACCATCCTTTTTCCTTAGGAATTATAGGATACCCTTGTTTACAGCATCTTTCAAGTTATAAATCAACGCATTACGTAGCGTTTTTTTCTTATTTCTAAAAAAAATTGACGCAGTTGGGCTTTCTTTAGTTTCAGAGCATCCAATTCTCGCACATACATATAATTGGAATGAAACGTCTTATTTATTGTATTTTCTCTGCCAAAATGCGTAAAATCGAGATAAAAGAGATTCATTAACAAATTCGAGAAATCATCTTTCATCTATTTTTTATTTGAAGGGTCAAAATGAAACCTTGATCCATTCATTGAATTGATTATTCCTTTTTTTCTCAAAGAGCTAAGGATGTTTCTTTTATCGGTAAGACAATTTTGCGACAAATTTTGTCTACAAATCCTTAATGGAGAGAAACCAATAGCTATGAGTTCCTTCCAAGCATGATGAATGCAGGAATATCGCCAGAAAGATTGCATCTGAGTATGATCAGTCATCTCAGCGACCTATCCTTCAGAGGCTGAGAAATTGATTTCAAAGAAAGTAATTTTAGTATACTTTTGATTCAAAATAGTGAACGTAATAGAGTTCACGCAGAAACTAGACTTCTTAATATTTTATTATTCTCAAAGTGGGTATACTATCAGAATAGACCTGTAAGAACAAAATTTCAACTCCACCTTCTACGTTGTTGCAAAAACGGGAACTTGAGCCACTTGAGGTGGATTAACTTAGGTCACGCAACTAAACTAACCGCGCGGTAAAGCGTAGTGTATCAAGCAGAATTGAAGGCGATCTGCGCCGAGACTCGACGAACCTTTTTTATCTTTGCCTTGCAGAGCATTTTAAAATCGGATGAGGTACATCACTTACGAAATATTTGCTTTCCGTAGAAATTGGAATGATGGTAAATAAGAGTGAGTCAGATGAACTTTTCGGAAAAGCTTAAATATACATGGAAATAATAGTTGTAAAAAAATAGACGTAACTAAAATGTTTCTAATGTTGACTGATTTCGCGTGAGACATGAAAAAAAAATGAGAACCTAGGTTGGGCTTTTTTAATTAATGTTTCAACAGCAATGTATGTAAGTAAAGTTCAGAAAGTATCACTCGAGAGAAGTAGGGAAACAGTAACATGCTTTCATTTCGCAAAAAAAAGGCTTATTCTTTTGAGGCGGTAAATCGACACACTTCTGGAGATACATCTCGAGCGATCGTATATCTATGAATTCTGTGTCAAGTGGGGAACTACTCAAAGGCAATTAGTAGACAAGCAGTTCTGGAATAATTCTACTTTAATCACCCTATTTCCACAAATACTGATGTCGGACTTAGAACAATATATTACTTGTGAACTGAGGCTGAAAGTACGAGAACAAAGCCGCAGTAGGAATTGTGGCGACTAAGCGATTAATCCGTCTTTTACACTGAAAAAAATGTTTGGGGATGGGAACAAGGAATCTAGTACCCCTAACAAGACTACCTTGTCCTATTTGATCCACCAGAGTACCTAGTAACTGTTACAAGAGTTGGTTGTTATCCTAACAAGAGATCCTTGCTATCGAAACAAGAGTCCCTAATTACCATTACCAGAACCCTCATTACCGTTACTAGAATCCTTGTTACCGTTACCAGAGTACCTTGTTACCATTACTAGACTGCCTTGTTACTTGAAAATTACTTAAAAATTGGTCAGTGGCGCACTCTACTTGTGAAGTGTACATGTTTTCTGTATTCACACATCATTAACTATTTATTGATTTATTCAGTACATACAAGTATTACACAGGTTCATTAGAGACAAGAGACATATACTTTCAAACCATATTAATTATTAGACAATTTGACTTACCAATTGAGAGATGTTGCAGCGTAAAATATCAAACGATCCAGTGGAGATTCGAACCCACGGCGCGCGGCGGCGCGGCGCCTGGATTCCCAGCCGAGCGCTCTACCGACTGAGCTATCGCGGCTGATAGACGGTGAGGTCGAAATATCCCTACAAAGGCTTCTGGGAGCGACTAGTAGTTATGCAGCTCGTTCTTCGTCCTTACTATTTCATTCAGAGCACTTAAAACCTTTTCGAAACTAGAACTTTCTAAGTTTCATCCTTAAAGTTATTTTTCAGCCCACGTATTTTGTCCTTTTAAATATCTAGAAAGTATTTCGAATAAATGAGTGCGTTCAAATAAGAATTATGCTGTGGTGGCCACTTCTTTTGCAGTGTCACCCTCTTTGCTGTATAATAATTTATGAATAATGATAATAATAATTAAATAATAATTAATTTAATAATAATGTATAATTAATTTATAAATAATAATGTGTAAAATTTAAAAATGATTAATTTGGTATGAATTTATAAGTCTCTTGTCTTTAATTAACCTGTGTAATACTTGTATGTACAGAATAAACCACTAAATAATGAATGATGTGTGAATACAGAATTACTTTTTCTCCAACAAAGTTTTGTGCGGAATCAGTTACTTATCGTGCCCTCAAAATTTTTTGCATTTAGAGCCCGGGTGCTGGCATCTTAATCCAAGAGTCCGTTTTCTTAACTCAAGTGTCAAGTCTCTTGGTTCAATGCCAAATCCGCTTGGATCAAAAGAATAATTTCCTAGAGTGCACAAAATTTTATTTTAAGATTTCATTTTTTTCCCAGTGAAATTATTCTAGTAACTGTAACAAGGCAGACCTTGTTGTGGTAATAATGTGGATTTGAAAGGGTTACAAACAGAACTGTTATGCAGACTAGGATCCTTGTTTCCATTACCGGAATGGCTTAACAAGGGCTCTCTTGTTACCATTACTAGACCATTTTTTTCAGTGTAATCGGCCTTAATGTTTAATCCTCCAACTTTACAATGCAGTATTATCCTTTTTAATAAAATATTTTTTAAACATTATTGAAGTATATAATAACATCAGGGGCTTTGCTTTTCCATCGATGAAGGACAGAACACCAATCATATTAACCAAAGTAATAGACCAGTTGTCAAGAGATAAGGAAGCCCTCATCGATGAACATGGAAAGGAAGCCCGGGAAGATATCGAGACTGTTATCAACAAATTATCAAAATTGAAGAATGAAATGTAATGTTCTGCATTTTCCACAGCTTTTACAAATCTAGAAGAACACTACGAACATAAAAATTGTCTTATAGCTCCTTGACAAAGCTGATAGTTAATTAAGTGCTGCTTTTTTTGTTCCCAGGGCTGAAACTCGCGAAATTGATTTTTTCTTTTAAATTTCGGAGTCAGTCTGTCCACACTTAGTTCTATTTCATATCATTTTCATACATAATGGAGGTGGATGAATTTGACCAAACAACTAAATTTGAAGATGCAGCTCAAGTAATTTCATTCCTACCGTATAGGTCATCTTGGCTTTTTGTGGTCTCTATGAACTCAATATTAGTTATTGAAAAACTAGATTTTTTTTCCTGTTAAAAGAGACATGGGTATATCACAAATACAAGGCCAACTGCCGGTTATAATTGGACAACCTACGTATTACTATTCCCTGGTATCAGTGCAAAAAAAACGTATTTTTTGCGAAACAAAAATCGAAACAAAAAACAATTTTTGACAAACAAAAAAATCCACTTATTTTGTAACTAATGGATATACTTTTCCTTTTCCGAGATAGCACTAGTGCTACAATAGAATTTCTACGAGTCTTTTTCCTTAACTTTTTTACTCCTCATTCGAATTGCCCCACCCCATCTCTCCGAAAGATGCTCCACGACGAGTGTTGTTGGTTCGTTCGGGTCTGAAGTAGTAGTAGTGTATAGAGGCTTCTGCCACTGAGCCACAAAGAAATTAACAGCGTACGGTTCTCCAAGGTCATATTGTCTAACAAAGTCTTTCAAGTTGAAATGAGGCCGTCCTGTGACATCACTGGAATGAAAAAAATATTCATATATACTCAGGAAATGCAGGACATGAAACATCTATACACGAGCGTTGTATTAGTAAACATGTTTGCTTAGCCTAACAGAATTCTGTTGCAGAAGCACCTACATCGAAAAAAATGGTGCTGATTTAACAGCCCGGATGTAAAAAAGTGTATGACAAATCATAAAACGCTGAATCGACCGCCGCAGCAGTTAGTTTAACATTATGACATCGCTGAAGTAATTGCTGTAGTGGTTAATTCAGTGTTTTGTGAGTTTACGCTTTTACACATTTACACTTTTACACATCAAGAATGTTAAATCAGCATCCATTTAATTTCGATACACGGGAAAAATTGAGTGTTTTTAAGATAGCCAAAATCTTCCCTAGCCGAAGAAATATCTAGTTGTCTGATTTAAACGTATAATTATTCAATTTTCGTCAATTTAATCTGCTAATGAATGCGAGAAAATTATCTTTGAAGCTAAGTGTATACCTACCTATTGGTGCAACAAAAATACAAACAAAGGAATCACCAATTTTATTTAAATTGAAGCACCTACCTCTGATTCAGTTTTTTCATTGTACAATTTATCGTTCTATTTCCGTGTGCATAAACAAGGAACACATATCGATGAAGTCCTGAAACGTAAGGACAAAGCGGGAAAAAATATTTAGAATTTATGAAGAAATAATTTTAATTTTCTTTACAATTGCGTAACGTGCTCTTTTCACTATATGAACTGTTAGATAACAATAGTCCAGACACCCTCAAATTAATTACGTGACATTTGCCCCAAGACCCCTTCCCCCTCTTTCTCACAAAAAGCTCGAAAGATGGACCTACATGTATTCAACGTTCACCCCATAATTTACAGAGTATACAAAGGAACTCCGAAGTTTGCAATTTGCGAAAATTTTTCCGTCAATTAACTTACACCGGAACAAAATGATACATTTGTTCCAACAGACGTAACGTTTTTTCGCGTTCAATTTGTACCATGATCATTTTTGTGCGATGATATCTAGATTCTTTGAGCGCAATTTAAGCATAGCACAATAATACGCACCCTCCCCTCACCTTTCGCCGATGGATATTTTGCGTCACTTCACTGCTTCGCAGAGGTGGCAACCTCATTCCGTTCACATGTTCGCCTTCATCGTGCACCGATAGACAATTTCTCTACTTAGGAGCACGTGTATTTGTATCTTGTTTTGCTGGAGTTTGCGTATTATTACTTGCACGTAGCGCTAGGGACGGCGCGCGGCGAGAGCATGGGACTTTAGAACGGCAATTTTTTGCCTTCACTGTGCATAGGTAGGCAATTTCTCGACTCTGGACCGCGGTGATTTGTATCCTGTTTTGCCTTATTTTTTCCCATCATTATCATAAATATTTTTGGTCGCACGTTCTGTGCGCATAATTTTCCATGAAAAATGTAGCACAAAAAATATATTAAAATTGTTTACCTGTTCCTAGCAAAGGCCTCGGTTCCCTGTAATCGAAAATCGTCTCACCCCTTACATAATCGAGTGCAGGTAGTTGCTCATTTTCATAACTATGCGCTGGAATGTCGCTGACGAGCCAGTACAGGAACAGACTGGAGGAGCGATTTTGAGATGACGGTTCATCCAGACCTACAAGTGAGAACGGAAAAGTGAGTTCACTTGCACGTGCCTAAGTAATTATATGTAACTTGGATGTAAGCTTATTTACGTGAGAAAATTTTGGTTCATGCTTGATATTATTTCAACTAATTGTAAGTTGAGATACCTATACCAATGAAAAAAAGTTAATTTCAATAAAATTGCTTCAGCACGGCCATTAATTGCGTTGAATTTTCAAAAATGCACTCCTACACTAATAATATATCTACACTATGATATTGAATTTTAACTTTTTATTTGTTTATTTTTGTGATTGACAAAGTAAACCATTGAAAATTTCAATAGACTAAGTATAGAATTTATAATTATTATATTAAAAACCTACATGTTCTATGTGATATTAAAAAGTTTGTAGTAAGTATGTTCCTTATTACTTGGCGGGATGTTCAATTCAACAACATCTACAAAATTGAAGCACCAAGGAAATATTGGAGAATTTTTGCGATGTTTTATCTCAATTCCTTAGCAAAAGAAGTGTAGTTGTCAATATGTATACTTCAGTATACTCCAGAACTCTTGTATCTTTACTCTAGATATATTTTCGAAGGAATTAGCTAAATGAGCATATTAGTATGAAAAATATAACTTGAAAAATGACGTAAATTAAAAACTATGATCGATTAAATAAGGTCACTTTCAATTACCTATCATCATCAGCGTATGCACTTCCTTGAGGAACGTTCTGTAGTTAACCCACAATGGTCGGCACTCTAGCTCATGAACTCTAGTTATTTCATTTCCAAGCTTAGCGCAAAGACCATTCCGGTCCCATTTCCCATCCCGGTCCATCCATTCTATCTTGATATTAAAGTTTGAAAAATAAAATGTATCAATAAAAATGAACGAGTGTGAATGAATGAGTCAATTTCTCAGTGATTTTTCTTCTCTTTTTGAAGAATATTCTGTGAAAACTTCATACAATGATGTTGGATCGGTCTCTTTTCAAAAAATAAAATAAGTGCGTAGATTTTGAAATATCGCAATTGAGACACGCATTTTTGCAGTTTCACCGTCGATATTTGATAACTGTATACTATTCCAATCCAAATTATGATATTTATTTATCATATAACAATGCATCCAAACGGATAAGATGGAGCCTTGGGCCTTTGTCGCAAAGAAATGTAGGAGGCTGGTGCATTTGTGAACATTAACATGCAATTAAAAATTCGGTTACACTCGTAATTTTAGTAATTACTCACATGAATCGTTTCATTTGGCGCCTTGTCCAATAAGTCAGGAATAATTTTGTGTTTTTCTAACTCTGTTTTTATTTGCTCGGGAGTTCGTTTCAGCTCATAGCCATAATCAACTTCTGGATCTACCGTTGTTTTACATCTCATGAGATTAAGCAAATGTATCAGAACTATTGAGACTGTGAGCAGTATTTGATCATGCCTCATGTTTGTCTCTCAATGCTCCTCGGTTTCTGAGGGAAAAACCAAATCATTAGTCATATCCTAGGCCAATAATTATGACATGAATTTGTAAGTACAATAATTGTAATCTTCCGTCACATTCCTAAGGCGCAATGATACAACTATTTGAACACTCCGGAATGCGTGAGGTATCACGCCGCATTTGAAGGCGTTTTCAAAACAGCCAAGTTCCGATATCCGGATTATCGTTTTGCAAAGTTCCTATTATTATGTTTTATTTCCTACCATTTGTTTGTTTTCAATCCTCCTATAAAAACTACTCATTTGCTGAATACACTTCTGGGTGGAGCGCATTTTAGCCATGCATTCACCTTTGCAAAAATGTCAAAGGAAATCGACAAACCCAGCGTGCATGAAGGCTATTTCAATTTCTTGTATAAAACATTACTCGGAAAAAATGTTACGATTTCACTAAAAAAAATATCACATTCTCATCTATACTCCTGATTGATTTTCGCGCTATTACACTTGCAACTACTCATATGACTGGCGTCAAAATTAGTCAGGAGTAAAGTTTGATACTTTTTTTTACGTGTAATTTCATCGTTTATGCCTGTCAGAATGATAAAAATTCAGGATCTTTTTAATCAGTAAGCTGAATATATATCTGTAAATTTACTCATCTAAAAAACTGACAATGCAAATAATTTTATGACTACGATGTCTTGATAGAAAACGGTGCAAAGTTTTTTTTTTTTTTTTTTTTTTTTTTTTTTTTTTTTTTTTACGATGAGTAATAATTGTGATCCGTCTTCCTTCATTTTTTCTTTCTGTTGGAGCATTAAAAACAAATGCAGGTAATTAAAAATCAAAATTACAGGTTGTAATAAGGATGCGCATCTTGAGCTCCTTTCTGTGCTGAAAATCGTTCTGTACCTTCTCAAGGATACGAAACACGGATTAAGTAAGATTAGAAGTACATACAACAACATACTAACAATGTTTAAAACAGGTTTCTTCGTTCATTACTTTTTGAGCTCGCCCACTCGGGAGAGCTCTTTGCAATCGATTTCTTTTAGCATTGGTAGTGTCCGTGGCGACGAATGGATGGTTCTCGTTGCCGTCGGAGGAACGGCCAAAATCCCATTGATTTCAAGGTCTAAAAGTTGAATTTTCGCGGGTTACAGTTTTCCTCCGTCGAACATTTCCGTTCCCTCATTCAACTGAGGATTAATT